ACACTCTACATCATTCACGGTATGCCTGTACATGGTAATCTTAGCCCTTGTCCAAGCAGATGTTAAATATACGTACATAAATGTATGCTGAAGTTCTTAGACTTCCTTTTGATAGATGATCATTCATATTTAAATAACTATTATGCTTCTTTTCATGGCACATGTATAAAGTTTTTCCATAAAATTGGTGTTTCATTTTTGCTTTTTATAAAATGTAATCATAATACACGTATAGTAGGCCCATGCCTTACATTATACATGTACATGTAGCATGAGAATAGTACATCCAAGTACATGTACTATAGTACATGTATAAAGTATACGTGCTAAGGTTTACAGGAACACGTAGGTGATGATTCCTTATTTAGTGAAAAAAGATGGTAATAGTGGGATATGTAGTATCCTTGCTTCCTGTGAAGTTAGGAAAGTATTTTATTGGAATATTCTTAGTGTTAAGTATTGTTAATGATTGCTTTGTTAATACTTCTTTAGTGTTCTTAATAAAGAAACCTCTTCCAGTTCAGGTGCAGCGCACACCAATGGACTATCCAGCCCAACAGGTTCGACATAATACTCATACATGTACATGTAAAGGGAGAGGAGAGGAGTGTAGAGGAGCTTTTAATGATTAGAAGATTAAAATAGACATAAAAATTGTTGTGCATATGGGAATTTAAAAAAATGATGTAAAGTATATGCTTGTACGAACAATTAAGACATGAATACTCCTCTTTCATTAAGCTTACTGATGCATGTACATGTACATGTACATTTATTTATTTTGATCTATTTATTTAAGATCATTATTTATGCCTCTACCTAGTACATGTACATGTATTTATTTTCTCTGCATTACCATATCAATATATAAATGGTGAGGTGTATATTATTCAAATGGTGTAGGAGTAAATAGTCTTTACTCTTTATATCAATTTGTAGTGCTTCACTTAAGCAACAACTGAAACCATTAAGCCTACATGTACATGTACATGCACTGTAGTTAGGGAGTGTGTTTGTATACAGCATCCCCCCTTCCTATTCTGATCATTATCTATTCTGATACAAAGCAAAAAGTTTGATTTTACTTTAATTAGAATTTCTAAAGCATGTAATGTTGCTAGACATGACTGTAAACATTGTGAATGTGATACTGATTTATTTATCCTGAGGAATGCTTTCTGATGATTCCTTCCTTCTCTTATCATCTTATATCCCTTCTCTCTATTTTGACTGTCTTTCTCTCTCCCTCTCTTTTTTTTATTTCAGAGCAAGTCATTAGTCATCCTGATGAAATGGAGAACTTGGAGCAATATCGGGTCATTGCTGATTATAATCGGGCTGACAATCATCAAGTTGATCTGACAGCTGGACAGCTAGTACATGTCATTGAGAAACACGATACTGGTAATTTGTTAAACACATGTTGATATATTACATGTACAGCAAGTGGTGAAAACAACACCTAATATCTCATTACCATTAGTAGTAATGTTAATTATTTATGCATATTTGTGGAAGGTTTTGCTTGTTTGCCTTAATCTTAACTTTACCTTTTAAAGCAGTGATCCTAATTGAAATAACAGCTAAGTTTATTTGACATGAATTATTTATGATGCTGAATGTAATGCTTGTGACTCCATGGCTAAATTTAGTAGGTGCTAATAATAGTTGCCATAGGTATTACTCGTGACAGGAAGCTCATTGATCTTACCTCAGAATAATTTCACCATAAAAGTCTTATTGTTTGTGTAATTATACAAATACACAAGGTACTAATGAGTATGTGCATAATCATGCTCTGTTTTACCCAGACTCGAGGCTCTATTCCATTTGGCATATGAGCGTACACCTGTACTAGTATTAATAAAAAAATATGTTGTCAGCTTTACTGGCTTCTTGAGAAATGTACGCTTTGATGTCAATTAATTCTATATTTTAATTTATTTTAATTTATTTTTATATTTCTTTAATATTAAATTATTTTTGTAGGCTGGTGGATGATAGTTACTGATGAAGAGCAGGGCTATGCTCCAGCAGCATATTTAGAATCTATTGATAAAACGTATGATTCATTGGAGCCTGAAGTGTCTTCTAATGAAGGTTAGATTGATAGCAAGCGATGCATTGTGCATGTGTTATAGTGTGTTAGTCAGGGTTTCCCACAAATCATGCTAAGTGAGCTAAACAGCATGAGCTTCATGATCTGACAAGCACTACAATACAGTACATAGCATTTGGATGAATTTTAAATATTCATAGAAAGCCCAATTTTGATCAGAATCAGCTCAAATATTTACAAATTATATTATGTATCAGAAAAAAATATTAGAGTGGAGAATTTATTCAGAGCCATTTTTAACAAAATTTGGCCTAAGACCAAGGCATAGCATTGACCCAATTTTTTAGCAACTTTAAAAATTCATAAAAATCAAATTTTGATCAGAATTAGCTTAAATATTCTAGAACATGTACATGTGTAAAAAAATTATAAAATGAAGGATTCTCTCCGTGTGATTTTTCCAGATACTCTTTCACATTTTTACATGCACTTAATGCTGCTGCACATGATAGCATAAAGGGGTCCACAAAGCATATGCTTTAAATTGATTTAATAATCAATTGAATGCAAATCATCAGTTTTACCTTCTGCATGTAGCCTGATGTGGATACATGTACATGTCGGAAAACAAAAACATTGTTTTAATACAAGGATTGCCATCTTTGAATTTGTTTTAGCACATGTTCGCTAGAAGAATGTTATCAGTTACATGATTTGAGCTCATTATACACAGACGTACACACTCCTATTAGTGTGTGATACAAGCAGGTTGACACTGCTAGCCATTAGATTAGCTACGAGTATGGAATCATATTGATACAACAGTACACCTAGTCTTTGTATATAATAACCTTTGAACAGTCCCGACATACCGAGCTTCTCACTGAGAGGATATCCTTATTGATCACTGTCGGCATTAATACATGTACATTGTATATACATTGCACTTACATGTACATGTACTGGTACATGCATGCTTGGATTGTCTGTGTGTATGGTGGAGGTCATACTTTTGTCTCATGTTTTGTTATTATGACGTGACAGGCATTTCAGTCATTCCATGTATATACAACAAGCTGACTTCAATACTGTTAGGCAATAGGCATATATTAGTAGGTATAGTAGTATAGCCCATGAAGTGATTACTGGTAATTGAATTAGTAAATTGTGATTTAATTGTTGTGTTTGTGATAATAATAGTGATCACTAGTAGTCTCTTTATCACATAACTACATGTACATGTACATGTAAAACAAATGGATTGATGAAAAGTTTTATATAATTAACTCATTCTTAATTTTATGAGTGTATCATGTACATGTACATCAAGAGTCTTGTGTGTGTGTGTATATATACTGAAGTTTTATATGTACATGTACATGTGTGTGTGCATGCAATAACTGATTTTTACCTTCAATTATTCAATAAAGTGCTCAATATTAATTAGAGCCAATGTATGCTACACTCGTGATGATTAATACCATGATGGTATCTACATATACACTCATGATGGTATTAGAACAGCATGTTGTAATTTACGATGTACATATATGAGTGTAGTACTGTCCTTTAAAGTGATAGTGTGGCAAAGCACATAATGTGACTGTTTCTTTTATCATAGAGTATGAGGCAATGGAGAGTTACATACCTCAGAGTGAGGATGAGGTTGGGATATCAATGGGTGAGAAGGTGACTATTGTTCACAAGAGCATGGATGGATGGTGGAAGATAAGGTACTAATAAATTTTATATTTAACATTATAGTCAGTATCATGATAACATACAAACGATTTTGCCATATACTCTGTCTGCAAATTAGTACTATGTGTATGATTCAAAAATTTTCTTTGTTACACTTTTTAATCTATAATATACAGTATTATAGCTAATGTGGCACAATTTTAATTGTAAATGTGATTAACTAAACAAAAGCAACAATTTTACTTGTTGTGCATGTGCATGTAGTTTTATATCTAATGTTTTAATTTCTTTTTATTTGACAGTAAAAAGGGTCGAACTGGCTACTGTCCAGCTACCATCATAAGAAGAGTGAGTCAACAAACCAACGAGTCATCTCCAAGTGCTGAAAGTATCACTTACGAATCAGAGAAATCAATTTACGAGGGACTTAATATTCACAAGAAACCACCACCAAGAAGGTATGGAGAGAAAGAGAGAGAGATAAATTGAAGAATGCTTTCCATTATTGCCAATTGCTATCAACTGTAGCTACATGTATATGTACATGTATATATGAGAAATGAGTATTGTATAGCTACAAATATTGGTGAAGAATTAATATTGAGTTATTAGTAGTGCTGTGAGCTACTGTCAATTTAAAGTCTGCCATTTAATGCTTATTTTTGGCATTGCTCAATAGATGGCACGTGGCTGCTAAATCAAATCTGCCAATTGCTAATTTTTTGAGATGTCATCATGCCGCTCATCGCCAATACTTCCAGTTGTATTACATTGTATGTGTGTGGGGAGAATAGCCGAAAAAGATTTAAACCAAACTACATGCATGTTTGAAAGAGTGAGAGAGAGAGAGAGATGATTTTGAACGTGCTGTGCATATTATTAAAAATCAGTACATCACACGGGCTGCATGTGCATGTAGATGCATTATTAAACTGAGTCTTATTTCATTTAGAAACACAATAAAGAGGTCGGATGACATATACATAGTCCCCAGACCACTACTGGCTGGTAAAGTAGCAGGGACCAATATTGACATGTCCGATACACCTGCCTACTATAAAGTACCAAGACCGTCTCATTCCTCCACTTCAGGGAGTGATGAAGACAGACACGGCGTCTGCTCTAACCGACCATTCTCCCCCAATCATTATGAGATGGGCCCGGTGGATAGTGATATTTATGAGAATACTGACTTCGATCATCCGTTTGATCCATCAGAGGGTATCGTTCACCATACCATATACCAGAATACTTCATTTGATGGGACTCCTCTTCTTGATGAGCCCAAGAAGCTTCCTCCATTGAAGAAGTTTGGTTCTCCTCAGTTGAAGAAGTCTCCTAATAGGCCGCCCCCTCCTCCTAATAAACCAACTGCTAATAAGAAACCAGACAGTCCAGTCAATCTTGATTTAGATAATGAGTACATCAATCCTGAAGAGTTTGCTATTAAAGATGAGACACGTGCCCCTAGTCCTCCCAAGAAAGTACCATTCAAGTCACAAGGTACATTGTAACTGAATCATTAATATCATCTAACTAATGATTATTTAAAAAGATTTATACATGTACATTGTATACGCCTACCTTGCTTGGTCTAGAATACAAAAAAATTAAAAGAATTTAATTAGTCAATTTTGATCTTTGACCTGTTAGCATTTGTTGACAAACACAAGTTACATTATTAAATAAACTTATTTTGTTATTGTTTATTGACTTTACAATCATCATAATTTCAATTATTCAGATTCAACAGGGAGCACTGGCCGGGTCAAATATGTGTCTATAATGCCAATGCCTGAGCCACCCAAAGGAGAGGAAGGAGAGAGTAAGAGCGACTCAATAAAGAGCAGGAATAAACTGGCCATGACCAAATCCCTTGGTTTCCTTGATTCAGCAAGAGCATCGACCAGCCCAGAGAATGATGATGAGTATGTTGAAATGGATCCAGTTTATGCTGCAGTAGCTCCAGATGAGCAGCACAGTGAAGGGAATGACAGTAAGCCATTATTACAGTACATGTAGTTTATACTGTATACATGTACATGTACATGTACGTATACTTTATTGCCTACATGTGTACATGTATGTGTCACATAATTGCAATGTATATGTACATGCAATGTTGTTGGTCCAGTGTATGGTACGTTTTGTGTAACTATAATTGTAATGTACAGTAGTCATAATTATTTGTACTACTTTGTGGGTCAAGTAATCAGTCTCGTGGTTGAAATCTTATCACTGTAAATTTTAACTGCTAGTACAGTATTATTATATTACCATAATAGTACTACTAGCTTATTATCATTGTTTGTTGACAACCAACTAGTATAATAGAGCTTAATATTATTCCAAGAACTATTTCCTAATATAAAATATTAGATTATGTTTCATTATGTTATTATTGCACAAGACAGTTATAATTATGCATATTAAAATAGAATGGCCCTGACACAATGGAATACACTGAGATCACCAGACTATACTATACTCACATTAATTATAGTGATTTGTTCACTCAGGGTGTGTCCCCTCAATGTTTGAAGCTCTTGTCTTTGTATGGCTAGCAAATTTAATAAATCAATCCAGACAGTTGAGTCACTCCCTTTTATTCTAGAGTAGCTGGGTCACATTCCTGCCATATTGTATCACATTAGTGAAGTATGCTTTTACCTCAGTATTACTGGCTACAGTTTCATTGGCTTATTGAATTCAGCAAATTTATTTCTATTATTGTTTCATATCTATCAATTATTAATTGTTATTTTGTTTTTATTGTAGCCACAACTGCTGGCAGACTAACTCCAGTCCAACAAAAGAAGAAGCGTCCACCATTACCAGTCCCTTATGTTAAACAACAACAACAACAACAAGCAAGTGAACAGGCGGTTGAGGTCCCTAGAGGTAACATACTCAAAAGGACTAAAAGCTTAGAAGATCTTCTAGCAAAGTCTGAGTCTAGTCCTCTAGCACCAAAGAAGCCACTTATACCTTTAGCAGGGAAGGGATCACCGTCAAATGGCTACGATCACATCAAGCCATTACCGAATCCAAAACCATCGTCTTCTCCAGCTCATAAAAAGCCAGAGCCGGCAAAAAAGAAGCCATACCCCAAGTTCAAGCTAGGAGGAGGTGGGAGTGATTCAAAACCAGAGCCAGTTATATCTGCCCCTGTGCTAGTCGACTCAACAAAAGATATACAAACTCCTCCACCTCCTTCCTGCCCTCCTCCTTCTGCTTCAAAGAACTCTCGGTCTTACACTGCTATTGAGGATTATACTAGTCAGGCTGATGGCTGTCTTAGTTTTAGTGCTGGGGAGCGTTGCTTGCTGATAAAGCAGTCGTCTGGTGGCTGGTGGTATGTCAATATTAATGGAAAGGAGGGATGGACTCCTGGTGAATTTTGGGAAGAAGAGAAAAGAGTATGTTTTATTAGTTTATTTTGCTACTTTTCTCCTTAATCATACAAATGTACATACATGTACATGTAGCTTCTCTTCAAATTGTGGTTAAATTTTGGTAGAATTTTGTGCCCTAAAACAGAATTTAGAATTTTGATATACGAAGCTTAATTTGCCAAAATTTTTATAGCTACTGTATCTTCTGGCTTTTTTTTTATTTTTTGTTTTTCTTGCCCTACATACATACATGTATGTATGCATCCTCAGCTCTTCCTTTTTCTGTTTCACACACTACATGTATTTAATATGACGCATATATGTTTTGTCTGTTAGGCTATGACAGTTGCTTCAGCACAGCCTCCACAACTGCCTCCACAGAAACTTCCACCCACAAAGCCAAGGAGTGGCACCACTGCAGCCATACTGAGTGACACCCCATCCCCCCCTCTCTTACACCAGCACTCGCTTGATATTCCTCGAACTAATTCCAATTCTGATGGGAGTCCCAAGTTGTCTAAAGGTAGAGGCCTGCCTCCTCCTCCTAAGCCTCGTCCATTGAATTCGTCGCCTCCTAACTCACGGAAGTTAGAGCATCATGGCTCAGCAGCTGAAATGAAGTTTAGTTCTCCTCCTCCTCCTCCTCCACCAAGAAGAGCAGCAAGCCAAGCTAATGGATTAGGAGATTATGGTCATTTGTCTGATGTTACAACCGCCACACCAATAGGTATGTGTATGTGTGTATTAATAGTTTTTACAACTACATGTAGTATGCATCATGTATAATTGAACGTGTCTAAACTAAATGTGATATTGTAGTTAACTAAAACAACATTTGTTGCTTGTGCTTTGTTGGTTCACACATATCGTATGTACATGTACATGTATATGTACATTGTACATATGTACTGTACATACATTTACATGTATTTTGGTTTGCTTCAAAGACTTGGATACAAAATACCTTGTTATAGTGATCTGAATTACTGTATTTAAATTTATGACACTTTTCGGCACCTACATTGTACCTACATGTATAGCAAGTATTGGTAGAACACACAGCCCTGGGTTTCCTACAAAGCATGTTACATGTACATGTACATGTAAGTGAGCTAAATATGCTTCATAAGCTGACAAGCCTATAGAGCTACTTTGAAATTCATAAAAAATTCAGATTTGATTGGAATGAGCTCAAAGCTTCTCAACAACATAAGGACATGTATTTGTATTAGAAAAATTATAGAGAACCTCCTAATTGTTTTTAGCAAAATTTGGCCAAATATCCTTTCTATAGTACAGTACACATGCAGTTATAGCAACTTTTTAATTTATAAAAAATCTAATTTTTACCACAATCGGCTCAAATTTCTAAGCAACTTAAGAGCTTGTATATGCATCAGAAAATGTAAAAAACCATTATGGCAAATGTTTGAGTAATTTAACTGACATAAAGCTAAATGCATGCCAAAATCCTCCAGGAAACCCTGAACCAGCTTCATGTATACAGTAGCACTAGCATATGACATGATGCTTATGTCAATTTTGATTAGGATAGACTTTAACATGTACCTGTATCAATGATAGAACTATAATATCAGTTTGTGCTTCAAAAAGTACCGTATTACATGTAATTGCTTGTCATTTCCTCTGTATTACGTGTGGTAGACATAATGATAGACACAACTTTCAGTTTTATGCATGAATGCCTTGAAAGGTGTGTCATTTGAACAAAGGCCCTTTGAAACTGACTGGCTATAAGTCTTAACACTTGTTTTAAAGCTCTCTTACTAGTATTTCATTTGTTATTATGTTTTCAGAGGAATTCTCTTGGTATGTTGGAGGAATGGAGAGAGAGAAAGCTGAACAATTCCTCATTGAGGTAAGTATTGAAAAGATACATGTAGTTATACTATTGACCTGTACTATAGAATGGTAAACAAAGAGAATTCTTGGTTAGAGAAAGAATCAATAAGAAGGGATATTATGCTTTATCAATAAGACACCATTACAGGTAAGCACAGGATCACATTTAAAGAATAATACGCAATAGCAATATATACACATACATTTTAATAATGAGCACAATTATTTTGTAGACGATTATTATTGCCTTTGTACATAATGACTTTGTGTCTCAAAATTATTTCTCGACTTTTATTTTTTATTCATACAGTGTCAAACATTTCAATATTGATCCCAAACCCGATGGCTCATACTCCATGGGAGTGATGCAGTTCTCTAGCATTGAAGAGATAGTGAAGCACTACCAGCACAACTCACTCTTTGTACACGAGGGACAGTCTGTTACTCTCGGGCAGCCCGTCAGACGCAAGTCAAGTAAATTTGCTCAACACTGAGTTTGACTCTCTCCCTCTCCTTCTATACATAGTGTGTGTTTATATATAATTTTGTGATTGTCCATCCTATTTTTTCTTATATTATTGATATTCATTTTTTTCCTCCTTTTTAATGACATGTTGTTTTGTAATATGTGCAGGACACAGTCGCATTAAATTGTCATGTGAATCATTGCATGCACCACAGTGTTATTGGAATTTACAAAAATTAATGATGATAATAAATATCTATTAATGTGTTCAATTTATGTCTCATTGTTTACTTTTAAAATTGCTCGGCCAGATATTTTGCCTTCTTTAACGTCTCTCAATGCTTTCATGCAATCAGCTAGTGGATAAACACTGAGGGTAGGTGTCTTAATGTTGTCTATATTTGAGGCAAGAAATTCAAGCATTTCCTTGAAGAGATTGTAAGATCCTGTATGAATACCGATTATCTTTTTTCTCCCAAGGGACAACAAAGGTAGCTGGACATTTCCTGTCCCACCAAACAGCCCAACAGACACTAGTACCCCATGATTACCAAGGAGGCGAATGGAGACATCAAACGTTAGAGGGTTATTCACAAAGTCAAAAATTATTTGATAGCCTTTCGTAGATATTTTGTCCCGACACATACTGGCTTGTTCTTGTGGAGGCTTCAATGTTGAGAGGTGGAATGAGTTTTGTATAAGACCTTCATCTACAAAGGTGCTTAATTTTGATTCATTGATATCAATGCCAGTTATAGCTACATTGGGTTTTATTGCTGGCTTGAAAAGAAGTGGAATGAATGAGACAGCCCACGAGCCTAACCCACCTAATCCAACCACAGCAACATGGAACTGATCATCACTCCTCCAGTCTCCAGCTTCTGGTAGCTCAGCCAGCCCAGTCTTCACAGCATTATAGACAGTTAGACTAGAGCAACCAAGAACAGACCCCATGTCAATACTAATAGCACTGGGTAAAGGGACAGCATAGCGATAATGAGGAACTATCACAAACTCAGAATACCCTCCATTAATGTTCATACCAATCTCTTGTGATTTACCTCCAGTGCAATGATCATTGTTCCCTCTCTCACAATACCTGCAATCCCCGCAAGCTATCCATGGATAGACAATCACACTATCACCTTTACTGAGTGAGCTCTCATCTTCCCTTACATCAGGACCAAACTTATATACAGTACCAGATATCTCATGACCAGGTACTTTAGGATAGCCCATCCCTTCACGACTAGCAAACAGTAAATATTCTGAGTCTGAGAGGCGGAACCCTCCCTCCAGCCATTGATGAAGGTCAGTGTGACACACTCCAGAAGAATGGACCTTTATAAGTACTCCTTTTGGTGGCAGATCTGCAATTGCTTTAGAAAGGGTTTCTTCTTTACACTGGATATCTTGGCCAGGTGATACAATAATGTATTGCTTAAACATTGCCATGATTAAGTGATGGCATGGGCTGATTGCTTTGGAAACCACACCTAAAGACTCATGATTGTTTAGACAATCATTGATATGTACACAGATAATGAATGTTGGTAAATTAATTTTCTTCAATGAGAAATGGGAATACTTACATGTATAATTATTGATAATAAATTTATGAGCTGCTATTATTGGTACAGATAAATTCCTGATGCTATAAAATGTAATCATTACAACTAAACAATACTAATAATTAAGTGTTTGAAACCAAAAACGTAATCATTTATACTTCAATCAGTATCACTTAATTGGCAAACTGTGCTAATAACACAATTTAAAGTACAACTACCAATCACAAACTGCAATCACTACTGAACTACAACCATAAGTTACATCACTCACTGCACTAGCTGCAGCATTCACTGCACTGCAATATTGACCATAGCCACGCCTCCCATTTCTGCACACTCATCAGTACAATCATGACCTCGATCATGACGCCTCTTTTTCTTCTTCTCTTCTTTTCCATCCATTACTCGGAATCATTCCAGCCTTTCTATCCTCCATCCGAAGCAAGTAATCCTGATACGAGGGTTAACCTTTCCATTGCTCTTCTTATGTCCTTTGGTGGTGCTTTCAACAGCTCTGGAGCTGTACCTGGCATTCAAGTGGCATTGGACCTCATTAACAATGACACCGATCTGCTACCAGGATATAGACTAGGCTATCAGCTAATGGACTCTCAAGTAAGTACTCCATTCTTTTACACTATTTGTTTGTTTGTTTAGTGTAGCCACAGTATAGCACTCAAGTCTTACTTCCAACAAGTGTTGTATGGTACGCCTAAAGTTGCTCTCATGGGATCAGGTTGCTCCCTTGCTACTGAGCCAACGGCTGACATCAGTCACTTTTATAATTTAACACAAGTGAGGAGAAAGCAGTGCGTGTGTGTGCGCGCGTGTGTGTGTGTGTGTGTGTGTGTGTACATGCTGGTGAAAGAGAGATGGTGGGAGCAACAAAACATAAAAATGAAAGGTATTATGGATAAGTGGTATTATGTTGTTTTTCTTTTGAGAACAAACAAACTTTAAGTGATGCATGAGAAAGAGTTAAGTTGATATTTTGACGCAAGTATGTTATTGTAACAAAATTTTATAATTGACTCCAAATTTAGGAAGATTATTAATTTCTGAGTGAAATTATGTTTGCTTTTAGTAGACACGACATTCTTAATTTTTGCCATGAAAAATTTTATTTGATTACTGCTCTTATAGTAGCAACATACATGGGTATTTATGGGAAGCATTATGGGAAGTATCAAGCGAATTGTGTAACTGATCATGGCATTATAATTTAAATAATTATAGCTTATGATAAGAATCATTGTGTAGGTCTCATGTGCCTCTTCCTCTTCTGAGTTAGCTGATCGTGTTCGTTTCAAGTCTTACTTTCAGATGCTACCTACTGAGATTGATTTAGCCAGTGGTTTTGTGTCAGTGTGCATTCAAAATGGCTGGAGACACTTGTCTATTATTAGTCAAAACGAGAATATTTTTATAAATGTAAGTCCCACATTTACTCATTTTTAAAAAACAATGAAAAAGCTGTGTTCAGTGCTATAATAGCTGTTACCGTACAGTTGCTGTAATTTGTATGCAATTGTCAGATATTTTAGCGTGTGCTTAATAAAGTGGTGCCATGCAGGCCATAAAGCAGCATGATTTCACATTTTGATTTCATACAAATACATTATCAGCTTGTGTAATTAATTAGTAAGCATTGAATACCTTTACAATCAACTCAGTTCAAATTTATAAGTACTTTGATCTACTAGTAGCTCTATTGCCTGAAATAGTGTGTTGACAGTACATCAATAATTTATAAAATTTGTAAAACCAAAAGTAACCACGAGCTTTCAATAAGTTGGTGCAATTTATAAATAAACTATGAAATGCATGCAAGACTGCCTTTCCTTGTTGCATTCACTATACCGTATCATTATACCGATTCAATGAAAATTTAATGAGGTATTCAATGAGAGTTTATTCTATTCTATTTTGCTATTTTTACAGACAATAAATCGTCTCAAAGTATTGCTACCACAGTACAATATTACTCTACACATTGCTTCATTTGATACTGATGATGGGCCTCTATCACTGGGCAATGCACTTTTTGTAAGTTTGTGATCAAAATTTAACTTTTACTAATACTTATATGTGTTGTAAATTGACAGTTCTCCCTTCATTTTTTAGGAAGAAAGAGCAAGGATATTTTTTCTTGCAATGTATGCTCCAATGGCCAGGAAAGTCCTATGTAAAGTAAGCTACCATTAATTTGTATTACATGAAAAGTATAGTGTATGATGCTAACTGGATGTACCATACAAGCTGATTTATTGGCGAGGAATTAATATTGGCGATTGGCGGTTCTATGAAGAAATCGCCAATATAAAATCTGCCATTTTGTTTCAAACTGAGCATGCTCAATGGCAGGTTATGGCACATGGCAAAAAATTGCCAATATAAAATTTGCCAATAACTTTCTATAGGCAAATTTGCCAAATATTACTCCTGCCAATAAATCATCTTGTACTGTAGTCTATTAACAGAGTTAAATATTCCATTATTTTAATAGGCACATGAGGAAGGACGGTTGTATCCTCGTTACACGTACTTGACTTACGGATGGTATACAAGTCAATGGTTAATAGGGAATGATACTTCATGCTCTCAGAGTGATCTTAATGCCATTGTAGAATACTCATTAGCTGTTACACAGTATCCTGACACTGCTAACAAATCATATGTCACTGATGCTGGGATTGTGAGTAATACTTATCTAGTCACTAAAAATACATTTATGCAGTTGTTCTGTGTACACAAATATTGAAACAAAATCTGTAGAAATAATAGTAACAACAATAATTATTATTTTCATAAATATTACATGACATATCCTTGTAGACTCATGATGACTTTTTTAAGTTGTATGATGAAAGAAGAAAAGAGCTTGGATACTCTTACCTGATCAATAGTGAGCACTGCTTTGATGGAATGTGGTCTATTGCTTTTGCTCTCAATCAAACAATCAATGGTAAGTGTATTATTTAATTAATGTAATAATAAATTTTATTGTCTGCTGTAGAGCTTAATAGCAATGCTACTCTCAATAGACTGGCTGCAGAGGCTCAGGAACTCAACAGTTTTAAAATTGAGGATTTCACTTACAGGAATAACATTGTAAAGGATATAATGTTCAAGTATCTGTCAAGAACTAGCTTTATTGGAGTTACTGTAAGTGTAGCTACATGTACACTTTATTACTATTTTGTAGTATGGTTGACTTTAAGATCAAAGGAAACTCAGAGTCTCTATATCCCTCAAAGTACTGTGAAGGCACTCTTAGTACTCTATGGGATTTAGAGAACTGCCGTTGTCCATACTAAGTCCTGTATAGAGCTATGAGAGATTTGTCTCCCATAGCTCTATTGGACTTAGAGCACTCCAGTACTGGAAGTGCTGGGAGTTGAACTTTGACCCTTTGGAAGTCTGTGGTGACTTCCAGAGGAAGTTCTAAAAACCTGTTCAACCCATTGTATATTCAAGCAAGGAAGGACACAGAAGCAGCAAAGGGCTTGCTTTATAAACCCATAATTCTGACAAGGCTATAGTGGGGCACACTTGTGGTCAGTGGTCTATGGATATCATTGTGGTGACCACGTGACATTGTGGTTTCTCTACATGGCACTCACAGGAGTAAACAAAATGGCTGCGCTACTACTTTGCTTTGGAATATTTCTCCCACAAGACCGGATCTAATAAGATCAGGTTCTTCTGAGAATTCCTTGATCAGGGCCGTAGCCAGGAACTTAAAATAGGGGGTTCGGAAATTGCTGCACGCAAAGCGCGCAGCAAAAATTTTGGCAAAAATGGGCGCGGTTGGTAGGCGTGGCCTTATTTTTTGCGCATCTCAGCCATGTGCTGACTCAGCTAAAATGGCTATCTGTGCTTCTCGCTGTTGCCAAAATGCTAATCCTGCTTTTGCAGTGCTGTTCTTCATGACAGGAGCTAATCTAAAACTTTTTTGCAGCTACAACAGAGGGTTCGTCCGAACCCCCCGAACCCCCCCTGGCTACGGGCCTGTTGATCTCAAAGTCAAACACTACAAAACAATTAAAGCATGGTTCCCTTGTGCTCCATTGGATTTATCCGCATGAGCTTCCAGTCTCGTTGCTAAAAATAGAGCACGAAGCCGAAGGCCGAGTGCTCTATTTTTAGCAACGAGGCCGGAAGCTCATGTGGATAAATCCAATGGAGCACTCGGACCCATGCTTTAATTAATACATATTATGACACTGGCAGGGCCTGAATTAACAGTCAAATATCAGACAATAATTATTTCTGAATCAATTGTCATACCAAACTTGTGTTGTTCCACCATTTTGCTTCAACAACAAAATTTTTATGATACAAATTTTAATTAAGCAACGAGAGCACTAAAGTGCATACCCTCGCCACATCTGTAACAGTTTTAATAAATTAAGAGAAAATAATTAGTGAAAGTTTTGAGACAGAGAAGAAGCTTCAGCATGTAATAGATTTATTAAAACTTAGTGAATGTTTTGAGACAGAGAATGTTTTGTATTTTTTAGATAGAGAAGAAGCTTCAGCATGTTTGCTGACTGCTGCATGCTGCAGCAATGTAAAGGTGTGACTGCAATGAAGGTGTAGCTCAATCAAGCCATGCTCCACCCGCACACACAGTTATGGAGTAATGGTGGGCTAAGTGGTCAAGAAAGCTTTAGTTTTTCTCGACTTTTAAACAGTTTAGCATACAATTGTTAGGCTCTATTTGTTGCATACAAACGTCTATTGAGTCCCTGATTTTTAAAGACTCTGGCCGCTACTTCTGGAGAAGAGAGCCTCGCCACAAGGTATGAATGTTTGAGCTCTCATATCTTGAAAACAAAGATGATTGGAGCAATTTCTTACATTATAATAAAAGATAAAGTTTTGTTCTATTGCTTCATTAGTTTTTTGCTATGATTCCTTTCACGATGAGAGAGTTGTGCAAGTGCCGACCTAAGTTCAAAAACATTGTTAGCTTTTGCTCCTGCAGAAAAGATAAATGAAGCAGTAGGATGATAGGAACAAACTTTTTCTAGCTCTAGTGTTGATTATAAGACTCTTAAGAACTCAAATAGAAAGCAGCAGAGGCTTGAAAACAGATTTGGCTTGGACACACACACTGACAGGACAACTGCTTTACCCTCACTTCCATGCCTACGCGTGGGCTCGGGTAATAACCAACTAATTTTGTCATACAGCAGGGTTTCCCATAAAGAATGCTAAGTGAGCTAAACAGCATGAGCTTCTACAATGGGTCATTTACATGGCTTTTGAAGCAACTTTAAAAATTCATTAAAAATCCAAACTTGAGTGGAATCAGCTCTAATTTTCTAAAACATGTATATGTATCAGAAAAATTTATAAGAATGAAGAACTCTCTCATAGCCAATTTTGACAAAGTTTGGCTAAAGATTCTGTACTGTAGTACAGAAACTTTGGCCTAATTTTTAACAAATTTAAAAATTCATTAAAAATTCTAAACTGAATTGGAATCAACTCAAACTTGATACACAACATAAAAACATGTATATGTATCAGAAAAAAATTTAAAGATAGAGAATTCTCTTCTAGACATTAGTGACAAAGTTTGACCTGTGATCAAAGGCTATAATAGCCTTATTTGGTCATTGGCCCAATTTTTAAAATTGATAAAAAAATCCAAATGTGATCAGAATCAACTCAAACTTGAAAAACAACATAAGGGCATGCATATGTATTTTTAAAAATTACAAAAATGGCAATTTTTTGTTGTAATTTTTGTCAAAATACTCTTACTAATAGCTAGAACTGGATTTTAGGCCTATTTTCAGTACCTCAACAATCCATTGACAAGAAAGCAAAATCCTATGGGGAAATTCTGTTTGACTGTTTCATAGAAATGGCAAATAAAAGCGATGTTGTGTCTGAGAATGTAGTTTCAGGTTTTACGCTGGATACCATAAACATAAATATGATTAAAATTTTTATAATGTTGTGTACTATTTGTAGGGGCCAGTGTCATTTACAAGTGATGGAATAAGAACTGTCAAAAGACTAAGAGTACTACAATATAGAAATGGAAGTAAGACAAAAATTATAACTACATATAGTTGTATTTGTTAGTGCATCTTATTTATACTTTTACTATGCCTCATTATTTGGAACATTTTATCATTTTTAGCCTTACAAGAAATAGCAGCTATAATAGTCAATCAAGACAACAGCCTTCAATTCAATTACATTGAAAATGAAAGTGATGCTACAGTTTGGCCACGTAAAATTCTAGGTGTACGTGTAAATATTATGATCCATTGCTCTTTGTAGTTGGAGTCCCTTATGATGGAGTAGCAACAAATGTAACAGTTTCTGTATCCATTTCAATAACAGTTATATACTCACTGCTGGCTGGTTGTGGTATAGGGTTTACTGTTGTATGTCTGATATTCAATATATTCTTCAGAAAAAACAAGTATGATTATCTATCATACAGCAGGAAATTTTGAAGTGACTTAATTTTTGTGAATTGCTAAAATTTGGTGATTGGCAAATTTGCAACCATTTGATATTGAGCATGCACATAAGGGCTCAAAATGGTGGGTTTTTATTTTGGCAATAGCTATCAAAACGCCAAATTTAATTCTCTCTAAAATTCCCTGCTATTTGGCATTATTGATTTGTGATAAATGTTTGTTGTGATACTGTATTCCTTTTACTGTTGCAGGCTTATTCGATTGTCTAGTCCTAAACTGAATTATTTCATTATTGCTGGAGCTATCATAATGTACATGAGTGTCATTGTATATACTCTGCCTAGTGAATCAGAACTGGGCAACACTGTACTATGTAATGTGAGTGAGAAAATTAATGATGATATTATGTAGATCTATACATTGATACACAGACCTTGCAACAATATTAGCCTATAAAGATACTGACCAAAATCGGATACAATTTTTTAATTTTCTTAAAAATCAGGCCACAGATAGTGCAAAAACATTTCCCAAGTTTTGCCAAATTAAATGAAAATAAATCATAGGTACCGATATATATCTATAAATAAATAGAGGCTTGTTCTTCATTAATTGTGTAGTTACATGTACATTAGACCAGCCTATCTAACACTTTGCAGGGCCTGACCAATTTGCCAACTGTTGATAAAGCAACTTTGTAATGTAATTTAACTTCTTGCATTGCTTATACAGCAAATGACACAGACCTTGCAAACCATATAACACAACAAAGGAGACTAGTTGAATGTCCCTATATTGTGTGGTCACATTAAACAAATAGACCATATATGAAAGTCAATTTAAATTAATGAGAAGGCTAATTATCGTTTTATTGCTATTTTAACTCATTATTTTGTTACAATGTCATCACAATTTCTTTTATATTCTTGTAGTTAAAGCCCAGACTCTTTTCTCTTGGTTATTCTCTTTGTTTTGGAACAATTCTGGCCAAAATGTGGCGAGTTTACTACATATTTACAAACCCTAATATGAAAAAGAAGGTATAATGATAGCAATAAACATGTTGCATATAAAACACAGCATATTCCATTCATTCACTATTATTATTCTTTAAATACTGTAATTATGGTTTATATTTAATATGCTATTAGAGTGGTATTAAAGACTGGCATCTCTCACTGTTTGTTCTGGTGGTTATGATCATTGATCTTTTACTAATAACAATACCAACTGCTTTTGAAGACGCTCGCAATACAGCAAAATTGATAGAAAGAAAAGAGAATCCATCAGAAGAAGAAGGAGTAAGTAATTCCTACAGCTTTTGAGAATGCATGAAGCAATTAATACTCATTCTAAGGGTAATCTTATTTGATTTTCTTTTTAGGCTTTAGGTTACAGGACTGACTATTACACTTACATATGTGAATCCAGAGGGCGTGACATATGGCTAGGGGTACTGTATGGATTTAAAGGCGTACTCCAAGTTGCTGCTTTATTCCTAGCCTTTGGTACTCGGAGGGTTAAAGTGAAAGGACTGAATGAGTCAAAGTTTGTTGCAGCTATTATCTATATCACAAGTGTTGTTTTGGCTATCAAGATCATAGCAGCTATCACACTTAATGAATATGTTAATGTGTTTTCGTTCCTTTTTGCTACGTGTATACTAATCACTGCAACTACCACACTTGGATTGATATTCATTCCTCAGGTTAGTATAGTGCGAGACAAAGATGGTGTTTTTTGTGTGAGTGCTAAGAGAATTAAAAATAATGTATTATTGATTATCACTTTTATTGTTGCACAGTGCTATCATGTTATGTAATATGCATGTATAATTTTGCAGATTAGTTTAATTTACCACATTGTACTTACTGACCTTCCCTCACACAGTTACTCTCTTTAATTTCTCTTCCTCTTTCATAATAGATGATTGGTTTATACAGAGATCCCACTGGAGCAAACATTTTTTATAGAGAATCAGCTGCACCTTCTTCAGCTGCTGCTGTTGCTGCCACTGAAACTTTCAAAACAATGAGTTTAACAGGAGAAAAAGAAATCGAAATCAGCAATGACCCATTCCTCAGTGACAAGGAAAAGATTGAAATGTTAACTAAAAAAATCAAAGAACTGGAGAAAAACTCAAATGAGGTGAATGAAATAGAAAGAGAAAATAAAGAGCCTGAGAATAAATGTCAATAGGAGGAACAAACAATAAGCTAATTTACACTGTGCATTCATTGTGATCAGAATTTTATAATGTTCATGAACATTGCCACTTAAGAGTTAGGATATTTCTAACCTTAAATTTATGGTGTTTGTGTGTGTGTTTGTGTGTGCGTGTGTGTGCATGTGTTTGCACTCAGGGTAAAAAAATGATTTTAAGTTTAATAAATTGCTACATAATTTTTATCTGTCAGGTCAGCACTAAAGAGTGAACAGAGGATACAAAAGACTCCAAAAAAGAATTATTATCAATCCCAGTAATTATTCTTGTATAAACACTAATTCATAAAACAAACAAATAAACTGTAGCAAAATTTTTTAATTCCACAAAAATTTTTATTGTCATGCAACTTGAATTTTTGACTGATAATTTTCTCTTCAATGAAAGGATTTGGGGCAAATCACCTTGACTAGTAATTATAGGGCCAATAATAGCTATGGAATCATAATGTATGTGAAAATAAGCTTGTTTGGTAATCTGTTTGTTGCTACTTATCATGCAATAGTTGTTAGTAGCACCTTTGCATAGCGACTTCCTTTCTTGACATCAACAAGGGAAATTATACTTTCCTTCAAAAGCAGTGCCTTCATCACTTTCCATATACTCATTTTTGACAAATATAGTTTTGATAAAAACAACAAAAGCATTATTTTGTGTTCAGTTGAATAACAATGTCTCTTCTTGAACTCAATTCTACAACCTTTACTGCTACTGGTGAGGTCAATGGTCCTGCATTTGCAGCAGCATTTGCTATTGAAGGACTCATTGGTCTAATAGCTAACATAACTGTGCTAGCAATAACCCTTTACCAGCGAAAGTCCTGGAAGCAATCATCAACCGTATTTTTCACATCCTTTTTACTAGCAAATATCATAACAGTTATGTATATGTTAGTGTCTTCTATTTCAATTGGAGCCGGAGAATGGATCATTGGAAGCACATTTGAAGAAAAGAGAGCAACTTGTACTTTTACAGCTTACGTTATATGGCTTGATAGCATGGCTCTGACAATGACGATTGCTGCCATATCATTTGATCGGTTTCTTTTTATTGTCAAACCTCATCGTCACAAGTATCTCATGAAATCCTGGATTGCCCTGATTGTGACAATCAGTTTGTGGGTACTGTCTGCAGTCGTTAACATTGCACCATTTTACAGTCATGATGAATATAAAGCTGGCATATATGATTCTCAAATTGGAATTTGCCTTAAAAGTTTTTCTGATTCATATCTAGATTACATATATTTCTTTCTAGATATATTATTTCTTTTGATAATAGATTTTATTATCCTTGTGACATCTCTTTGGACATTTTGTTTTACCTGTAGGTTCATGCAGACCCAGTCTGAAATGCCTGGCAATAATAGTGTTTATGTCTCCAAGAAATGGAGACTTTTTGGAATATTTGGAACTATGCTGTTAGCTTATATCATAGCTGTAATTCCAGCATATATTTTTGGTGTTATTTCAATATTCTATACTCTACCACCAGCAGTGAATGTTACCGCTGCACTTGCTTATGGTTCAATTGTTATTTCTAACCCAATTATTCAGTCTTACTTCAGGCCAGACATCAAAATTGTTTTAACTGCCATCATCAAAAAGATTAAGCTAAAAGTTACTAGAAGATATCAAAACACAACCCAGACTGATGCAAACATGGAACTAGAGTGATGTTTACTGTTATTTTGTTTTTTAAAAATAGTTGTTAATATAACAATTTCCTTAGTTATTATGATGTGTTAATAGTGAACAAACAACACCATAACAATAAAGGTTGTCTCTTAAAGTGCTTCCTGTGTCTATATAATGCCATGCTTTTTGTTTGTAGCAGCAATAAATTTTTCTATAGACATACTTTTAGAATTTACTGATTTTGTCATGTCATTGTTTGGAAACGATTCAGATGGCTTTGGCTTTACTGGAAATGTCAATGCTCCGACATATGCAGCAGCACTGGCTATTGAAGCAGTTGCTGGTTTGGTGGCTAATTTCACAGTCCTTGCAATAACCCTATATCAGCGAAATTCCTTTAAGCAGTCATCGACAATCTTTTTTACTTCTCTTTTACTGGCCAATCTGATAATGGTAATATACATTTTGATAACTTCCATTACAATAGGCACTGAAGAATGGATCGTTGGAAGCACACACGAGGAAAAGACTGCAACCTGTGCATTCTTTGCATACATGTCATGGAACAGTTACATGACTATGTCAATGACAATAGCTGCTATATCTTTTGATCGATTTCTTTTTATTGTCAAGCCTCATCTTCACAAATCCTTCATGAAGCCTCAAGTAGCTCTTTTTGTTACCATTGGGATTTGGTTACTATCTGGAGTCATTAATACTACACCATTTTATGGTCTTGGTGAATATGGCTATGCTTCATATTTTGGGCTTTGTTCATCATTACTTGATAGAAAAGGTTCAAATATTGCATATCTCTTCATTCATGCAGTAATTTTTATGAGCATTTATGCTTCAATCTTTATCACATCTCTTTGGACATTTTGCTTCACTCGTAGGTTTATGCAGAGCCAATCTGAAATAGCCAGAAATAGTGTTTATGTCTCTAAAAGGAAAAGACTCTTTGGAATATTTGGCACAATGCTTTTAGCTTATGCCATAGCATTGTCACCAACATATATCAATAGTATTGTTGGAGTATTCTATGATATACCACTGGAAGTATTTGTTATCAGCTGTATTGTTTATAATTCCATCACAATCATCAACCCTATTATCCAGTCATATTTCAGACCTGAGATTAAAATAGTTTATAAAACTATTTATACAATAATCAAGACAAAGATCAGGAGGCAGTAACTGGGATCATTTTTGAGTGGAATTTATGAACAATAGTATATCTAAGTACAATTACTAAAACTTAGAACTTATACATAAAGACAAGCAAAAATACAAGTTTTTGTTGACATTTAGTTTTTATTTGATTTTTGTAGCAAATAGTTGCAAATGTTCTTTTACACATTTTAACTTTCTGAAAGGATTCTTCTGTGATAAATAGCTTGCATGAACTTTAACTGTAACATTATTCATCTCAATACAAGCTAGATAATTTTCATGAAAATATTCCACCACAATAAATAAACTAGTATTTTTGGATTTGCGTCAATGAATTGTTACTAATCATCAATTCATAAATCAATTCATGAAGAATATGCATTTTGTAATGTGTGAGAACTATAAGTGCTTAGTGGAATGATTTAGATCTACATTAATGCACAGTTATTATTAATCTGTTTACTTATCACATGATATACGAAAGTTGTTAGAGAGAGGTTTGGTTGTGAGGACATTGAGAATTAACCTCAATAACACTGGGACAGCTTGTGGACTAGCTGACCAAATAGAGTAATAATGAATTATTTGTTATACGTTAGCAATTCTTATTGTATAAAGCTATTGTTTCATAATTTTTATGTCACTGTATTCAGTCTATTGACCATCATTAAAGGCTATATTAATGCACCTAAAATTAAAAAAACTTTTTTGTAAAAAATGTATACAAAAAACTTTTTTGTAAAAAATGTATACAAAGTATGGCTGTTTACAAATTACAACTTGAAAATGGTGTATAAACAACAAATTCCATTTTACCTATAATCTCATGTATCCTTGTACCTTTTACATTTTAGACTATTGATTCCTTAAGATCTTCACTGTATATTCATGCATTATGGTAACATTGAACACCTGCTGCATATCTGGTCACGCCTCATAAATATAATTGACTCAATTATTTTTACTTCTCAATGTTTTATAGCTTTAGATGTATTTATTTTGGGGTATATACAAAAATTTCTAGTCTACAGTACAAAGTAATGATTCATTCAGGCATTGACCGTGCTGCATATGACAACAAGTACATTTCTATTTTGAGTATAGATCATAATCAATATGAGTAGCATAAATTTGTACAAACTTAAAGCGCAGCTGCTCTCAAGGAAATGCTTTTAATCACCATTTTAAATTGAGTTTAAGTATTCGTAATTTTTGTTTCTGCTTACGTGCAAACCACAGTTGGAGTATAAACTGGGATTTATGGTACTTATTATTTTGATAATGTGCTTTCAACATTTTGTTTTACAAACAAAAGAGCCTCTAACCTGCTATTCTCTGACATTTACTCAATGAATAAACTATGGGCCACTTTGTCTTTCTATTGCTGTTAAACCTCACATTATCAAGTCTTCTCCTTTTGATCAGAAGCTTACTGTGTCTTAATTAAAAGGCTAAGAGATTTGTGAGATATGCTAATGACTGAGTTCAATTTGTCACGTGAAGAAAGGAAGAGACTTGTCCGTATTCAGATTCAGCCTATGTACATGGTAATGAAGAAAGTGGAGCAAAATTAATTGTAGCAGATACATTATTATATTATTAATAGGCATTGAGCAGTTATAGCTGGAAAAAACTTAAGCAATTACCAAAGGAAGATGGTCTTGCTCAGTATAAGTGTATTTTTTATGATGAAGTCTTTTTGCACGCATGGAAGTAGATAAAAGTATGACATTTGTAATGTACATGTATATTTCAAATTTTTAATACTATCCATGTAGTCTCCTCAAATAAAATTATATGTACTATATAATTACAGTCAAATCAAAGGTGCTGCAAGGTGGCACATATAATTGGCTACAACCGGGGTTTTAGGTTAAATTTAAAAGACTTTTAGAAAAAAAGGAGCTAGAGCATGTGTTTTCTTCTGAGTTACTAGCACATTTTTTGATGGAGATTAAATAATTTAGTCAATATGCAAAGGTGATTTTGATGTTTAAAAATTAAATGCATGTAATTTTTAAACTCTACTGCCAGTTTGAGCATTTTCTCAATGCATTAGCAACTG